AACTATCTTTTAACCGTATTCTCTTTTCAGCCAATCATAAAAAGTTCCCCAGATTTCATAGTAGTCTGACTCTGTCTTATCTTTAATCGTCATTGTTAGTCTATTCATTTCTGCACATTCCAGTATTTTCCCAATCACCTCTCCCTCTGGGGGGGCTTTCAGTGCTTTCCAATTTTGTGCAAACACAATCCTGGCTGCCATAATTATATGAATAATTAAATATATTTTCTCTTTATTGTATTTCTCTGGTAGAATACCCAACAGGAATATTTCTGGTTTTAGCTCTATACGTTGTTGTATTTTCCTTTATTGCCAGCTGTTCTCCCTTCAGCTGAAAGTCACCAAGCAGTCAAGGGGCTAGTTATTGTGCTATACTCAAATCCACCACTAGATGTCAATCAAAGTCCATTTCCCACTCTTAAAACAAAAGGTTGATTTCTTATTTCACCTCAATAATTTTTTTTTTAAGAAAAAATCTTAACAATTATCCCAATTTTCAAATTTATCAAAACTGTAGCTTTGTATTACTTTCACTTCAGTATTGTATGTTTCTGTCCCCCATAAAATTTTTAAAACGCTTCCATTCACATCCAGAGGTTTTTAGCTTCTTGAGAGCCTTTCCCAGGAAGTTTAGTTGTAAAATAGTAAAGAAAAGATCAATCACCCAGTTTCAAACATGCTGTTTATGATATGCTAATTAAAGCTTTTGTTCTTCAGTTGTCAGCGGCTAATGGCCGGCCGCAGAGTTGTGGCTGGTCTTTCCTCTGCTAGTTTAGAGGATTTTCCTTGGATCAAACGGAAAGACCGCCATTTCTCTGTGATCAACAAGGCACCCTTCCTCTTCATCTTTTTGGGACAACTTTACGCCCTTTCCAGGACCCCCAGCAGGGCAAAATTGGTCACAGAAGGCAGAGCCCTGCCTTCTTGCATCCATCTTGCCATGACGCAAAACTGGAAGCTTCTATTGCTTAGTGATTATTGTACTGCAGTGATCAGTGCTTCAATGCAGGTAGAAATGCCCACTGTCAGCACCTCAGCTGTCAATGGTGCATCCCATGCAGGATCTTGCCTTGCCATGGCACTTCCTCCACTTGATTTTCCTTGCATATCTGCTTCTGCTTCAGGCTTTTTTTTTTCAGGAGCTCATCTTTCAATGTCATCATATGATGTACACTTGAATATTCTGAGTTTCATCCACAGCAGTTATATTGACACCAGATTCCTCCATCTCTCTTTTTCATCCATACATTTTGAGAAACTTCCAGATCTTTACATCAGCAGCCTTCATGTCCTATACTGATAGGGTATCTAAAGACTGGCAGGGCATACACATTGATGGTGTATATCTTGTTCTTCCTATTGCACTGGCTATTCAGGATCTGTGTTACCCTTTGAGGGTACTTAAACGTTGCTGTCTTCTTTGCCTGCCATGTGATTCCCATATAATTGTGGAATATCAGGTACTTGTAATTGGTCTAAATGTTTGTTATATGACCTGCTAGTAGTTCCACCCCATCAGTTTTAAACTACCCTCCTTCTTTTTTCTACCATGCCATAGCTTTCTCACAAATGAACAACACATGGTGTCAGAAGGAAATGCTTGCTGAATTCTTCTGCAGCAGTAATGGATGCTAGAGTCCAAGGTTTGATTAAAACCAAAAACAATTTTTTTTAAAAAAAAAAAACAACCTTCTGTTGGTTTATTAAAAGGTTTATTAAAATGTGATTATTGTTGCACTGTAAATCAGAATCAGCAAAAGGCTAGAAGATCAATTGCAAGATTACTGAGCAACCTTTACAGAATAGCACACTTTTTGATGTTAGCTTCTTCTTTTTTTAAAAGATGCTCTGGAGTCCTTGCCAAAATTGAGGCTTCCTGGGAATGTGGAAGATCAAAGGCAATGCTTTCAGCAAGGATTTCTTAACAGCAAGGATTACATGACAGCAATCAGCTACCACATAGATCACATAGAAAAACACACTGTTCTAGGCAGTGGCTGGAGATTTCCTGAAATTGTATAATACATTTATATTCAGAGATAAAGAAAGCAATGCCTTTTAAATCCTATTGCATAAATTTGATGCTTATTGTGGGCCATGAAAAAAGTAAGATAATGAAAGTTTTATCTTCAGATTTTGTCTACCATTAAACCAAAATAACTGAATAGTTAGTAAGAGCTCTTAAACTAAGAAGTAATTTTTTTTGACAGTGCCACATTGATTATATTTTTGAATAAAGATCAAATTATTTTGGCCATAAAAAACAAGAGAGTGCTGTAACACTTATTTAAAGAAACCAGATGGTCCCTAGAAAATGCTATTGATAACACATTAAGTAGTAGAAATTGCTCATTCACAATTGAAAGTTACTGAAACAGCAAAGATTTATGGAAAGGAAGAAGACTAGAACTGTAATCCAACCCCCTGCTCAAACATTACATGCACTGAACCTGAAATATATGTTCACGTAGGAAAAAAACAACAACCTGGATTATTGTTTGGTACAAATGACTTTATAGAAGAAAGTTTAAGATGAAAACCAATCTCCAATATAAGAAGAGAGACTAATTAACACTCCACTCAGAATCCAACACTTCAGTAATAAGGCTTTGACCTCAGATTTAACCTAAAAAAAGATTAAGTAAATTATAGATGCTCTGTCTTGAGTACACTTCAGAGATTGAATGGTGAGTGTCAAAGAGAGTTGCTGTCTTGAACTTCATGTGAAAGCACAGAATGAAGACAACCAATGAGCTATCATGTGTGGCAATAAATCACGGAGGCCACTAAGTCACATCTTAAAGAGGCCTATGAAATAACTGAGGTCATGCGCAAGAGCATACATAAACACTAACTTGTTAGTAGAAGAAATGTTTGAGACAATTAAGTAGGATTTACCAATATTTTTAGCAAATAGCAAATGGGCATGCCATGAATCCAAAATTCCAGGCAATTATTGTATATTTCCAGAAATTTGTTTAGACTTCTCATAACTTTTCTTAGAAAAGAAATGAAAAAGAAATGTATATGGTCACTCATCTTATCAAATAACTGAGTGGTTAAACTGGATGGTTTAACATAGATATGTTTCTCAACAAAGCAGTGGGGTGGTGGAGATGATGATGGTGAGGAAATAAACCTAGGATTGTAGAGAACATCGTATGGGTTGTAGGCTGCAATTTTAAAAAGTTCCATTGTAATAAATAGGCCTTTTTGTGACCGTCATATCCATATGTAGGCTATTTTCTGAATGTGCAACTTTTATGAAACTATTTGCTGCACATTTTCAAAATTCCTGTGTGCCATTGGCCCTAAAAAGTTTCCCTACTCTTTCAGGGTGACAACATTATTGCTTCCATTTTAGAAGGAGTGTCGCTTTTATTATTGTCTGTTCCAGATTAGTTGAGTTTCTCTTTATAATTTGTGCTTGAAAAAAAGGCATTCTGGTTCATGAGATGCATACAACATAGAAAGAACACTGTAAATAACCAAGTATATTATGGATATTGAGCACAAACAAGTGTAAGATATAATCTATAATGTGTCAAACTGCCGGCCTGCGGGCTGGATGCGTCATGCTGAAACCGTGTCCACCCCATTGCTGGCAATGGGAAAAAAGTTGCGATACGTCACGACACATCACATGATGTTGCAAGTTTGACACCCCTGATCTATAATCTTGCTACATGATTGATTGATAATATTTAGCGTGGGTGATTGACCTACAATTCAAAGATTACTACATTATGTTCAACTCTTTAAGACCATAACAAAATGTCTATTTTCTCCCCAAAAGAAAAGGGGAAATAAAAAAAGTGTTATTCATATCCTTGGAAGAAGCCAGAGGTCATTCTTTGTATATATTTGTCTTTTCCTTTCTTTTTTTAAAATATTTTATTCCTATTCTCTTTTTACTCTCTTTTTTCTGGATTGTTAGTGTGGTTTTTTTTTATGTATATGCTTTGCAAATGTAATAAAATTATTTGACCAGACATTATTACATTATGATTGGTGTTCCTAGTCTTATATTTGTTTTACACATAGATGAAGATTATGAGGCCGAAGGGTCAGTCTTAAATATTAAGAAAAACTAGAGTCAATCAATGATAATAATTATGCATATATTAAGTGCAGATTGAGTTAGAAAAGATATGAATGTTAGGTGTGTGCATCAAAACTAAGCAAGATCAGTAAGAAATTATGATACCTTGCTCTGTGAAAAGCTCAGTGTATCAAAATAAGGGGTGCCCAAGAGCTTAATGTTTATTCCAACTTTTGCACGAAGAGTAGCTTAAAATGGTGAGGAACCTGGATCCTCTCATGCACATTCAAAACTGCCACATATTATCCCTCTGGGAACAATTCTTCACCTTTTGAAATTTTTATAATGATGTTTTTATAATTTTAAAACTTTTAATTCTAAATTATTCTGATTTTAATGTTTAATTTTATTGATGATATTGTGTACTGACCAGATCTCCACTCACAAGAGAAATGGGCGATTACAAAATATGAAGTACAGGTAGTTCTCAACTTACAACCACGACTGAGTCCAAAATTTTTATTGCTAGACAATTGTTAAGTGAGCCCCATTTGACAACTTTGCTTGCCACAGTTGTTAAGTGAATCACTGCAGTTCTTAAGTTAGTAACACTGTTGCTAAGTGAATCTGGATTCCCCATTGATTTTGCTTGTCAGGTCACAAAAAGTGGTCACATGGCCCTGGGACACTGCAAGCTTCATAAATAAAAGCCAGTAGCCAAGTGTCTCGAATTTGATCACATTACCATAGGGAAGCTGAAATAGTCCTAAGTGTGAAAAATGGTCTTAAGTCACTTTTTTCAGTCCAATTGTAACTTCAGTCACTAAACAAACTGTTGTAAGTTCAGGACTACCTGTATAAATAAATAAATAAATAAAATAGGGGCTGAAGGGCTCTTAGATTTTAATATAATTAAGTATTTTTTAAAAAAATATTTCTTTTTCTTTAGCCTATTATACCCATGTATACACAAAATGTTCGAGAAGCATATTGGATCTTCGGGCGATCAAGTAAGGCATAATTATACTGCATATTTTAATTTGAAAATTATTTGTTGTTCAATCTATAGCTCTATGTTTTGCATAGCATTTAGATAGAGTGTAAGACACAAACAGATCCCTACCCCATTCTTTTTGGGAATCTGAGCTGATGGTTGAGTAATAGAATGATAATTATTTTTACTTCATTGTGGTTTTAATTGACTTGGTGAAGAAAAACTTTTCTTGGGAAAGAAAAACTGAATGTATTGCATGGTACAGTTATTTCTGTACTTCATAGGTGAGCAAGAGGTTTTCTTGAAGTATAACACAAATGCTGAGTTTGTTCTTCAGCTTCACACTATTCCAAAGACTTAGGAGCATTTTAGATTGTCAGAGGATCTGCAAAAAATAGCTGCTTTGTTTACCCTTTTCCGTATTTGGAAAATGAAGAGGGAAGGACCGGAAACTGCATGATAATTATAGCTTTTAATCACAGGAGTGATATGCATCAAGGCCTCTCCAGAGTGCCTTGCAAAAAGATGTTGTAACCCTATTACAATTTGCTACACCTTGTTATCTGCTTATTGCCAGGAACTAAAGAGCAATATTTGAAATAAAAATGTAGCAAAGTGAAGTATGTCAAGCGCAAGAAATCAGGAGCCAAGTTGATTCAAATGAATACAGGTTTATTGCATGCTAACCATCTCTACAAGAATCTGAACTAGTTACAGTCAAAGTGAATTGGTGGTAGATAAAAGTCAACAGAATTCAAGGTGGACTTAGATCCCTTGTGGGTGCAAAGGGACTCGAGACTGATGACATGTTTGACCCCTCCCTTGGTCTCAGCCTGATCATCTCCTACATCTATTTACTTGTGATTTATATATTGAATTTCTTCCAGTCCTTTTAATCAATTCTTTACATCCCAGATTTCTTATTCATTCATCCATACCCTAAACCTCCCCATCATTTTATGCTATAAATTATTAATCTGCTTTCTGTCTTGTTAGAACTTAGTTGTAGCATTTCCATACAGAGTTTTTGTGGCAGTGTGAAATTCGGACCCAATTTATCAGTTCTTACAGTATTAACTAAGCCAGGAGCTAAATAAATTTATTACTAGCTCCACCATCCTGCTGTGCATGTCCTATCATCTGAATCTCTGCATTGTTGGTAAGCTTCTGATTGGCTTGTTACCACTTGCAGAAAACGTACTTGATTGTTACCTTGATCAGATTATCGACAAGCTCCTTTAGTATCTAGAATGCACTTCATTTGACCCTAGAAACTTACATTCATTTCTAATAAATTCCCTGACCATGTTTCTTTGAGTTTCAAGCTACAGCCCACCCTCTTTAAATTTTGTTTTTGTTTTTTTAAGTGGCCTTGTGGATCATGTCCTTTTGTTGGAGATGAAGAAAATAAAATAGCTATTCAGTAGCAGGCTTTTCTGCTAGTATTTTTCTGCCTTGACTGAAGACCTAGTATATTAATTTTTCCCTTTTTATTTTGAACATATATAGATAAGCCCACTTTATTCTTAATAAACTTCAACAATTTCAGCTCATTCTCATTGTTTTTAGTTTTCCTTATGCCCAGTCTAAATTATAAGCTATTTGTTTTAATTTTTCTCTGTGATCAATTCTTTCCAATTCTTGTTCTTTTTTGCTTTCATAAATCTTTTTGTTTTGTTTTTTACTTACTTAAATTGCGCACAGCTGTGCTATTACTCCCCCCCCTTTAAAAAAGTTTATTAGCTTTTCTAGTTTACTCCTTTTTGAGATTTTCAGTTTGCTTTAGAAAACATCATATATATCTTTTTGATTGAGTTTACATGATAGACGCTACCTTGGTAGTATTGCAAAGTTCCTTTAGTTTGTATTTTTTTGTTTCACTGACTGAAAGAATAGTGTGAGAACACCCATCATCTTGAACTGCCTTCCCGAGTTTTCAAAGTCCATGATGACATATTTAGGTCCCTTCTTTGTAAGTATATTAATCTTACAAAAGTATATTAATCTTACAAAAATGTTTTACATTTTATTATTTTTATATGTATAATAATTTTTCCCTTTTTATAAAAAATGTCCTATTTCTTGATTTGCTTTTATATATGTTTTCTACTTCTTTTATCAAGACTCTGTTCTACTTCTTGAGGACTTATAAACAGCGCCACAAGAGAAAAACTACTATTTGTCTGCCTCTTCTGGAGTTATAAACAAACTATAGAATAAATTTTTGCATGAATAATAACAAAGCCATGGGGAAAGAGTCTAGTAACATTGTTACATGCAATGTGTATGCAATGTTTGTATTTCTACCTATGGAGAACTCAAATCACCCATGCAATAAGTATAAATTGGTTAGATTACTTGAAGAAAAGGTGAAGAGTTTCAAGGCAAGTCAAGCCACTAAAACTCCTGATACTCCCACACTTGTTTATTTATGAAATTTATTTGCCACTCAACTCACTGTTCAGGCAAATTTCAAAAGTGACCATGAAGAATATGATGAACTGTTAAAATCAAAAGTCTCTATCCAAACAAAACCAAGCAAGGATGATGAAGAGGAAGGGCAAGGGCAATGGTAGTATGTCACGTAAAGAACAAAAATATTGAGGAGGCAGCCCAAGCCTTCTCTGGAACTGCACAGTCAATTTCATATCCCCCCCCCCCCCAGGAAGCACATAGACAGCTGAAGAAAAGACTTTCCCAAATATTTCAGTGATAAGAAGTAAGGTTCCAGTAATAAGAAATAAAGTAGCTCAGACTTTCCCAAAGAAAAAAAGTGTGTGTTGGTGATCGATGACTCAATATTCAGAGGAACAGAGTCAACAATCTGTAGACTAGACAATTTCTTAAGGGAAGTATATTGTCTACCAGGTGCAAAGATTAAAAATGTCACAGATATAGTCAAGCCCACGGATTGTTATCTCTTTCTCTCATTCATGTTGGACAAATGATACAGCTAAGAGTCTGAAAACAACTTCAATGGACTATGAGCAATTAGGTAGGAAAGCCAAAGAGGTAGGAGTACAGGTAGTGTTTTCATCTGTACATACAACAAAAAGGTCAACATCCAATGAGGGAACATAGTAGAAGTAAATTTCTGGCTAAAGAATGGTACCATTTAGACCAGGCATGTCAAACTGCTGGCCTGCAGGCCGGATGCATCACACTGAAACCGCGCCCACCCCATTGCCGGCAATGGGGAAAAAGTCCTGATATGTTGCGCGACGTCACGTGACATCGCAAGTTTGACATGCCTGATCTAGACCATGGATAACACTATGTACAGGAAGGGCTGTACGAGAGATAGATTGCACCTCACAAAGACCAGCAAGTAAGTGTTTGGGAAACAACTGGCTCAGACCATCCTTTAAACTAAAACTGGAGGAGGAAGGATATTAGTTTATAGGACTAAACCCAACACAGAAAAACATAACTAGAAAGGGAATGGTGAACAAGGGGCACACAAGTACAAATCAGGAGATACAGGAAGCAAAACTAGGATCAACCATAAAGGGCTCAAAGCCCTGAATACCTGTGCCCAAAGTATGGGGAACAAACCGGGAGAGCATGAAATTCTAGTTTATGAGGGCAAATATGATGTAGCTATTACTGAAACTTAGTAGGAAGAGAGGATGTCAAAATGTATGTAGGGAATAACTACACATTACTAGGGATGAAAGCCTTCCTGGATATTTGGGTAAATATTAGAGGAAAAAGAAATAACTAGGTGTGTTCTGCAGGTCACCCAACCAACCAGAGGGATAGATGAACTTTTGCTAATCAGTTAGCTGAGGTGTGCCAAGAAAATCACTGTAATAACAGGGGAACTTTAACTAACCTGACATCAACTGGGAAAATGAGATAATGAAGTCCCAAGCAAAAAACAATACTACAAAGAAAAACAAGAAATACCATACAAAAAAGCCAAATATGAAAAATGGAAAGAGGGGAGTATAAGGGGAGTATAACCAAAACAGAATACCAGCAAATAGCTTGAATCTACAAGGAGTCAGATAAAAAAGATAAGGTCCAGAACGAGCCAAGACTGGAAACTAATGCCAAAAATAATATTTAAAAAACCTTTCTTTCAATATGTAAAGAACAAGAAGAAATTCAAGGACACTATTGGTCCACTAATCGAGCAGATGGCAAGAAAGTGACAGGCAGCAGGGAGAAAGCTGCTTAATTTCTTCCTTGCATCTATTTTCATGCAAAAAGAAGAAATAGCCTAACCTATCAAAAGCAGTATCGAGGAAGATAGAGCAGGTATACAAGTCAAAATAGTGTAGAGAGGAATCAGTATTGAATACATATCCACCCTGGGCAAGTATAAATCATTTGGTCTAGATGGTTCAGATCCCTAAATTCTTAAAGAGCTGGCAGACTTAATCTCAGAGCCACTGATTGTAATCTTTCAAAGCTCCTGTAACACAGGGGAAGTAACAGAGGATTGGAAAAGCTGATATGGTTCCAATCTACAAAAGGGAAAAAATAGATTTAGGAAATTATAGGCCAACAAGTTTGATATGAAAAACCTGGGGAAATCCAGGAAAAGATAATAAAGTAAAGGATTTGTGAGCACTTACAAATGAATACGGTGATTATTAGAAGCCATCATGGATTTGTTGAAAACATATGCCAGACAAACATTACTGTCTTCTTTGATAAAGTGACTAAGTTATGGGACCAGCAAAATGCGATGGTCACAGTATACTTGGGCTTTAGTAAGGCATTTGACAAAGTAAACCACAACCTATTTTTGGTAAGATAGAACAATGCAGGATAGACAGTACCACCCACCAGATGGTACTCAAATTGGCTGATCAACTGCACCCAGTATGTAGTCCTGAATGGAACTACGGTACATCTACATGGAGGGAAGTTTGCATTGGAGGTTCAAGGTTCTGTCTTAGGCCTAGTACTCTTCAATATCTTCATAAATGACCTGGATGAAGGGATAGAAGGGGAACTCATCAGATTTGCAGATGACATCAAGCTGGGGGAAATTGCTAACACTTTGGAAGATAGACTCAAGATTATCTCGACAGACTTGAGCATTGGGTCCTATCTACAAGATGCAGTTTAGTTAAGTGCAGAACAGTAAGGTCCTGCACTTAAGCAGGAAAAACCAAATGCATAGGTATAAAATAGTACAACAATAGTAACTATGAGAGGAATCTTAAGTGTCCTAGGGGATCACCACTAAAGTATGAACAGCAATGTGCTTCAGCTTCCAAAAAGGCCAATGCAATCTTACACTGCATCAACAGAAGGATAGCATCAAGATCATGAGAAATGATAATAATGCTCTATACTGCACTAGGAATACTGCATCCACATCTGGTTGCCAAATACAAATACGATTCAAAAACCCTAGAAACTGCATAAAGACTCCTTCCTCTCTGCAAAGAGAAATGAAGATGATAAAGGGTCTGGAGGCTAAATGATATGATGAACAGTTGAGGGAGTAGGTACGTCTAACTTATGAAAGAAAAGGGTTAAGGGGGATATGATAACAGTCTTTTAGTACTTGAGGGGCTGTCACAGAGAAGAGAGGATTGACTTATTCTCCAAAGCACCCCAAGGGAAATAATGGGTGGAAGCTTGTTAAAGAAAAATGAAACCTAGAAGGAGAGGTTTTCTGACAGTAAAAAACAATTAATTAATGAATAGCTTACCCTCTGGAGCTGTGGTTTCTCCATCACTGAAGGTTTTCAAAAATAGACTGGACAACCATTTGACCAGGATAGTATAAGGTCTCTTGCCTTGAGCAGAGGTTGGTCTAGAAGACCTCCACGGTCCCTTTCAACCTATGATTCTATGTTTTAACGTTGTCAAGACAGGTATTTTTTAAACCTATATTAGGCTAAACTGATAGACCAGTGGTTCTTATCATATTGGTACATACTACTCCTAGTAACCAAATCTACTGATATTTCTCAATTATAAATTACTGCTGAAAAAAATGTTGCTGTCACTGAAATGTCCTAATTTGCCTAACTTTTTCAATTTCTGCTTCTTTATTAATAGTAACTCAGTGTAAAGATCACACTTTGATAGCAGATAATCTGATGTGATGAAAAAAGGAGGGCATTCTCAGACATAAGAGTACCAACAGCTCCAGATGTTATCTGGAGATCTTTCAAATTACATTTTTAATTTTAAAATTACTAAAATCTAGAAGCTGAACCCATGCCTTGCCTTAGAAGAATTGCTATTGGCAATTTCCATCATAAAGTATATTAATAAAATAAAAGCAAGTAGAGAAGGGTTATTATATTCTTGAGATAGAATTCTCAATGCTAGGCCAATGTATAATTCTTGTAGTCCCTTTGAAGAAAAAAGTATGATTTAAGGCACAAACAAGTCACAAAAACTGATCTTACCTTAAAGTCAGATTCTATTTCTCACAGAACTCTTAAGCTGAATGTGAAAGCATATATATAATTATTTTAAAAACAGCAGTTTAAATACCTCACCAATTTCTCATATTTTGAAAAAAGTAAATATTAGAATAAGCAAATATGTGCATTTCTGTTTGTGGGATTTTTTTTCCCCTTTGCAGAGTATTTCCATAATTACAATTTAGTTTAATTTCCAGTGTAATCAAATATTTAGCTAAAATACTTTGCCTTTTGAATCTAAAGATAGAGGCATGCGAATATGCTAATGCAACAAAGAGAAATTCACTACATTCAGGTGAATTAAGCTTTGCCTGAGGAAGGTGATAGAGAAGCAGTCTTCCCTCTATGCCCCTTTTGTTTTTGGTTCCTTTTCCTTTGGAAAAAAAATCCCTACTCTATCTGACTGGTGCAGCCTGTGAACCATGCAAAACTGAACAACTTAGAACGAATTAATTAAAAAAAATATCTTTTGCTGAATCCCAGCTTCTGCTGAAGCGCAATGTCCATAAAGGTTCTTCATGAAACGTTTCCATTTGTGAAATAACTAGCCAACATACAACCCATGGCCTCTTAGGGCAATTTTTTCTCCCATGTTAATCTGCTATACAGATTCCTTGTTCTCCAGCTGAAACAGTGAAGTTTGTTGAACTCTTCTTTTTAGGGAATGATAAACTCCCCTAATAATTTTATTGTTTTTCCTTTTGTGTGTTTGTGTGCACGTGTGTGTGTGTGTGTGTGTGCGTGTGTGTGCACGTATGTACGGTATGTAGGTGTGTATAGTTTTTATTTAAATGAATAGCTGTGGGCTATATTGCAGCTGAAGAGCAACTATAGTTCTATAGAGTGATTCCAATAACATGTGCTTTAGATATTTTAACAGATTCAAATTAAGTTTTGGTTTTATTTATTTTTTTCTTTTACAGCAGCTTTAGCTAGGAGGCTATATGAATATAGTCGAATCCCTTTCCTTCCAGTGTGTGGTGGATTTCCAGTCAAATTTCGTACTTACATTGGAGAACCCATTCTGTATAATCCAAATGTAACTGCTGAGGAATTGGCTGCCAAGGTATGATTTGTTTATCAGTTCAAACATCCTCAATTCCTGTTTAATTGTCAAAAAATTTCAAAAATATTTGTATTTTAAATTAATTTATTACACTGATTTAATGTCTCATAGCTTTTTATAAGACTAATGTAATTCAAATTATTCCTGGAAAATTATTTTCTTTTCGTATTTTCAAAACAGCGCAAGTAAAATCTAGTAATGACCATTCTCCTGTATTACTAATCTGTAACCTGGAAATTACACCTAGTGACATTAGCCTTAAAACGGTGGGTGCTTACAAACAGATAGCTTCAAATAAAACCAGCCAAAATATTTTATATGACTTTGTATATCACTTGAATGGATTGGTAAATTCTAGCTATTGTGTCTTATAAACCTTTATTTTATTTGTTATTTTATTTTATTTATTATTTTTTTCAATTTCTATAGTTTGTTTCAACAGTAACGGGAAGGGGGGGAAGGCATTGGAATGCAAGGGGGGCCTGGGAGGGAAACTTGGAATGCAAGTGTGCTGACCGGAAGCCTGAGACAGACCCAACACCCCAAGGTCACTGGCTGGGAACTGTCTGAGGCAGAGAGACCATTCCCAAAACAAAGTAAGTGCAAATGATCAGTGGACAATGGCCAATGGGAGGGCCAGAGGGGAAAGGGAAAGTGTTCCTATGCTGTGTGCACGCAAAATCATTAGAACTGGCTTTTTCTATTTCTGTACCCATATGGAATATTCAGTAAAGTTATACTCTTGGTAAAAAAAAATATCCCAGGAGTTTCTTTTGGTGTCTAACCCAGTGGGGCGATTGACAGCTTGTTTTTTTGTTTTATTAATTTGAACTGAATACTTTATTTGGTCAAGTGTGATTATATACACAAAGAATTTGTTTCCAGTGCAGAAGCTCTCAGTGTACATGCAAAGCCACAGAATCATCCTCAACATTATAGTACCAATAAGAGGGGAGAATAAAGAGGGTAATAAGAAGGATAAATACAGCCATACTACATGGATAAATACATATAGACATTAGACAGGATTGTGAGATTTAGCAAATTGATGGCACAAGGGGAAAAAAACCTGTCCCTGTGTCTAGTTGTTTTGGCATGCAATGTCCTATAGCGCTGTCCCAAGGGGAGGAGATGAAACAGTTTAGGTTCAGGATGTGAAGGGTCTGTAGATATCTTTTTAGCCCTCCTTTTGACCTGTGCAATATACAGGTCTTCAGTGGAAGGCAGCCTGGTTGCAGTTGTTTTTTCTGCAGTCTTAACTATCCGTTGGAGTTTGTACCTGTCCTGTTTGATTGCTATACCAAACCAGACACTTATAGAAGAACAAACGACAGATTCAATAATTCCTCTGTAGAGTTGTATCAATATCTCCTGGGGCAGCCTGAACTTTCTGAGTTGACACAGGAAGAACATTCTTTGTTGCTCCTTTTTAATGATGGCTCTGAAGTTAGGTGTCCGTTTCAAATCCTGGGAGATTGCAGAACCCCAAAACTTGAAGGACTCTACTGTGTTGGTCTAATATAGTAATGGGTGGTAGAATAGAAGAGCTTTATTTTTAAAAAATTAAAAAAGAAGAGTAGTAATCTGATAGACCTTATAGTCTAGATGGGGGAATTGGAGGGAGCACATATCATTTCTCAAGATATTCCTAGCCTGTATATTTTTCTCTGAGAATAAAAAAGTTAAACAGCAGCTATATTTTTATATAATGCCTCCCTTTGTTCCAAACCTTTTGGGGACACAGAACAAATCCAAGATGGTACTTGGGTTTGAGAGTCCCAGGATGTAGCTTTCATAAATATATAATTTATTCTTCTAGTGAATCCTTATTACCAACATAATTGTGATAATGAAATGTTTTATTATTTTTTCCTTTTCCTTTACTTTCATTTTCAGACCCAAATTGCACTCCATTCATTAATTAGAAAACATCAGCAAATTCCTGGAAGCATCTGTCGGGCTTTTTTGGAAAGATTTCACAAAGAAAAGAAAAAGGAATAAATTGGTCAAATGTAACGATAAGGCCAAATGAGGCAGCATACTGCTAATTATGATTTTCAGAATCATACAGGATATCAAAATTTCTAATGTATGTTAATATCTAATTTAGTATTATACTTTTTCTGGCAAAGAAAGGATAAAGTATTATGCAATTTTTCATCTGCATGAAAAAAGAACGAGTAGCTTTTCACAAGGTGTTTCAGGGTTGAAATGTTACTTAGAAACTTTTGAAGTAATTACAGGTAGGTCATGATTAGTGAATGATGCAATACTAGACTTAGTATGAGTTACAATTTGAGAAGAAGTTGCCTAGAAGGAGATCCAAAATTCATTTAATGCAACACTACATATATGCAATCATGGTGGAGATTTTAGACACTGCTCATCTTTATGTGTGCAAAATGGATAAAAGGCAGATTCTGTCAAAGAAAAACAGCGTGAGTGTAATTAGAACAAATATTTGCTATAATTGAATGACATAAACATAATCATAGCAATGCTAAATTAGGATGAGTTGGTAGAATGCCTGAATTTAGGGGATATTTTGTGTTTCTTTGCTTTCTATAATTACTCTGTGAGTTTATTAAATATATGAATTTGAATAATGCAACCATTTCATTAGATTCATTAATCACACTAATCAATATTTTTTAGACTGGTTTGATTTCTTGGCTGCTGTTTATACTGTACATTTCGTTACTCTATTGTTTTTAAACTATGTAAGCCATCCAGAACTGCTAATGTAAGATAGGCAGCTATATAAATCCAAGAAATATATTTTTTAAAAAAATATTAAAATTATATTGAATAAGATGCCATTTGTGTTGTGCTTCACTGCAATATGTATTGGAGTGGACCTGTCAATATATATTTAATGGTAAAGAATTTCACCATAGGGTTTTTGGGAAGCAGGCAATCTTTGTAGGCTATCTTGAAGCAATATTTCACCAGACATTTTTTAACAAAGTAAATTTTTATGGTGCTGTATTTTGAGTGGAAGGAAATTTTAGGAAATGTTGTTTGTATCAACCCTATTCAAACTGATGGTCTGTCTGGGTAAGCATGTAGAGCAGGCTAGTACAAGATATGGCCTGCATGCAGCCCATCAGTCCTATTTTTTTAATAATATAAAAAAATAATTTTACCACCACCAGGAAGGATCTGCCACTATTGCCACAAAGAAACACTGCTGAATGTCTCCAACACCTCCAGGCCTCACCAATGACGCCAGCTCTGTTGCTGCTCCACCGGCCACCGGAAAATTACAGGTAGTCCTTGACTTACTACAGTTCACTTAGTGACCATTCAAATTTTCAACGGCACTGAAAAAAAGTAATTTATGACCGTTTTTCACACTTACCACTGTGGTAGCATCCCCATGGTCACGTGATCAAAATTCAGGGTCATGTGATTGCCTTTTGCGACCTTCTGACAAGCAAAGTCAAAGGGAAAACCAGATTCACTTAACAACTGTGTTACTAATTTGACTACTGAAGTGATTCATTTAACAACTGTGACAAAAAGGTTGTAAAATGGGGTAAAATTCACCTAATAAATGTTTCACTTAGCAACAAAAGTTTTGGGCTCAATTGTGGTCGTAAGGCGAGGGCTACCTGTAATTGACATACCAGCTATTTCTTTGCAGACAGCTAGTATTTTTAATTTATTAATATGGCCCTTTTCCATCTACAACTTGTATAGCTCTGATGTAGAGGGTTGTGCAAATAGTCTTAAGATTGGACTTAAGCAGATATTTTGGCTAATGAATAAAAAAGCTAAAATAAATAAAAGATAATTGTGTGAAAACAAATGATCTCAAGCTAGTTTCATTGAAAACTGAAGTTGGGTTTGTAAGAGAATGTATTTATTGAGGCTTCTTTGGAGATCCAATGTTAGTAATTGGACTTATTCTTTAGTCATGTTTTTGATCTTTATATTTATGAATAAACTCAGATATTCTATCTAAAACATAAAGTTCCAGTGGCTTTTTTTCTAAATGGAACTCTTTTGGAATATATACTGTGCCCCTATACAGGGTAGTCCTTGATATGACCACAGATGGACTTTTGGTAGTAAGTCAGGATAGTCATCAAAATAATCAACTAGATGACTGGACTCAATTTCACAACCATTTTAATGATGGCTGTAAAGTGAGCCCCTGTGGTTGTTAAGCATTGTGGTCCTTAAGTAAATCTGGTATGTGCATTAGGCATTACTAACAGAAAACAGCAAAAAAAATGTCGCAAATCAGGGCACATGACTATGGAATACTAAAACTGGTTGTAAATTGAATGAGTTGCCTATACCTGAAATATAGTCACATGACTGTGGGGCTTTTGTGTGACATTTTACAATGGTCAGAAGAGGCCACAAAGTAACCAGGCATTAACCAAGGATTACCTGTAATTTTTCCAATTGATCTGCCGGTAACATTAGGAACAAATACTGTGAGGGTCGGTTGTTCTCCGAGCTTGTGGTTTGGTTTCTGAACGTTTCATTACCAGGCTAGGTAACATCTTCAGCTATTTGTTCCTGCCCTGGTAATGAAACGTTCAGAAACCAACACAAGTTTGGAGAACGAAACTTCACCCTCATCTTACACCCGAGTTATAGATATTCATCACTACTGCAAACAAATACTGTGTTGCAAGTCTAAGCATTTCTAGATGCAATGCAATCAAGTCAAAGGATTAACAAAAGAAAATCTCAAAAAGATTTAATTCCATGAGCACACAAAAACTAATATTCAATAGCCCAAATCCATATAGGGAAGAATTAACATTCTTAGTTAATTTTTAGTAAACAAATACTAACAAACGAACGTTGATGAACTGCCAGACCATTAGAATAACACAAACATGCACACACACCTCTTCCACAAACCTTTGCATATACACATGAGTACACACCTTTTACCTATAATTTAGGCCCTTGGTGACATTTTGTAGACTATCTTTCAGGAGTTGACTTCTGTGCTAGGCTTTTGAAAATGAAAAGGAACTTCCTCTTTAAGCAGTCTGTCATCAGGTATTCATTTCCAGCTCAGGGAGCCACACTCCTTTGATCTTTCATCAAGTAAAACAAAAGGGTAGAGTTTAATGTTAAGCAACACATTTCCAAACACAGAGAAAGATGTAAATACTCCTCTCCAGCTTGAGGTTCAAAAATAAGCAGTAGATTTATAGACACATTTAAATGGTTTTTTGAAAAAATATATTTATGCATATTTATATTTTTATACCAAAGTCAAGCCCCATTAATTTTATACAAATTACATTAAATGTTTGAATTGGCAGAGATGAAAGCTTCAAAAATTGAGTCTTGCTGGCAATTGAAACACCATTTATTTATTTATTTATTTATTTTATTGAACTTATATGCCGCCCTTCTCCCAACAGGACTCAGGG